AGTGGTACGGTATAACCAATCACAAACATATGTTGATAAAAACTGGCCTCTGCAATACTGGTAATTAGTAAAACATTAAACAGTTTAGTGCATTATATTGCATCTTCTTCACTCGTACAAATAAAAGAATAATACGTCTTATTTCTGGGATTTGATTCAAATAAAAATGTACACCCACACAAATATCACTCTCGTATTCCATACAGATTATTTGGCTGCATCTGCGGACTGCTGCCATTGGCTCATTCATGAAATGTCCGTTGAGTAACAGGAAGCTGATTGACTGCCAACTGTCGTTAGAAATTCAAACTGCACCCCACTGGTAGCCAATCACCAACCTAAACGCCACAAAAAATGGGCCAATGGGGCATGCACCAATCAGCCCACGAGACGCCACAACAAATGGGCCAATGGGGCATGCACCAATCAGCCCACGAGACACCACAACAAATGGGCCAATGGGGCATGCACCAATCAGCCCACGAGACGCCACAGCAAATGGGCCAATGGGGCATGCACCAATCAGCCCACGAGACGCCACAACAAATGGGCCAATGGGGCATGCACCAATCAGCCCACGAGACACCACAACAAATGGGCCAATGGGGCATGCGACCAATCAGCCCACGAGACGCCACAACAAATTGGGCCAATGGGGCATGCACCAATCAGCCCACGAGACGCCACAACAAATGGGCCAATGGGGCATGCACCAATCAGCCCACGAGACGTCACAACAAATGGGCCAATGGGGCATGCACCAATCAGCCCACGAGACACCACAACAAATGGGCCAATGGGCTATGCGCTTTGAAAATTATCCAAACGCAACTTTAACTAATGTGGAAATCGTGCCTATAACCCTCCTAATGGTTTACTGGCTCAGAAGAATGTTAGAAAATAAACCCCCCCCCCCCAAAAAAAAATAGTCTTGCAAATGTAAATATGCTTTCATATACAGTCTTTTTTTTTTTACAAAATTGTATAAGCTGTATACGCGGTATAACGTCGCATATCCGACCATCAACATAACCGCCCTGACCCAATTTAAACCGCGCAATCCCATTGCGGCATCCGTTGCACGCTGCAAATGCCATTCCCTGTAGACGTTCACAAATCCATACCTTGCGCAGCAAAAATCCGCGGCCATGCGTCCGTAACCCCGCGCACATTCGCCCACTTCTAAAAAGCACGGTCAACCAACGTTTTCTTACTTCTTTGTCCACTAACCGATTTGAGCGCGGTGGCGTTAACTGTCGTTGTATATACATGTTCACATGTCTGCGCTAGGCGGGAGTCGGATGCGTGACGCCGTACCGTAACGTTTCCTCAGCAAGTTATTCTGTCGACGACACACAATCAAGTACACTTTTAAAATGGAAGACTAATTTAAAGTCATTGGTTATTGACCCTACTGAATCATTAAATACTTTTTACAACGTTTTCATCCAATAAATTACTTTTATATAATGTATGTGTGTGTATATATTGATGTATATTTTTGCACGAATAAATCAGCTGATGAACACCGGACAGGCCGCTGCCCCCTGTCAAATAGAGCAGAGGGGGTAGGAGGGGTTCTCGGCTCTGTGGACGGTGATATTTTATTAAAAGTGTTGACATTTTTCAACGCTAAACAAAATCGTATAAATATTGTATTTACGCAGCACATGTGCACGCGTGCTGCATTAACAGTATAAATACGGGTTCATTATTTATTTCTGGCTTCATTTATTAATTATCACTTGGCTAAAGCGCTAAATCTCGTTTTATACATAAATACTGATTACGTGTGCAGGTGCGTGTGTATATATATATGTGAGCCGCTTTGGTGAACTTATGCAATGCATACCGGACTAATACAAATTATGGGGGTAGTTTAACTCGCGCTGTCGCTGGGATGAAAGTAGTATCTCAATGTTTCAGGCAACTGGCCTTCTTCAGGACGTACTGAGGTTTTAAAGTGACCGCACAACGCAAGTTGGTCACCGTGTCTGGCTGAAGGACGAATCCCTAGGACCGAATTTCACTTCAGGGGTTGTTGGCCTGCATCCATCACCTGAGAATTCAGGCCCAGTGTAAATGCATCGCAAAAAATACGTCGTGACGATCGATTGCTTGTACGTGGCAGAAATATGTTAACTTCCCGTCGAAATGTTAATTGTATGGTAGAACCCCTCTGAACGACCACCCGTGTTAACGACTAATCGCTGAACGACGGGCCTCCTTAGAGGCCAATGTGTAGTGTACAGTAGAGTGTAGTGTATAGTAGTGTATAGTGTATAGTAGTGTAGTGTATAGTGTAGTGTATAGCAGTGTAGTGTATAGTGTAGTGTATAGTAGTGTATAGTAGTGTAGTGTATAGTAGTGTATAGTAGTGTATAGTGTATAGTAGTGTAGTGTATAATAGTGTATAGTAGTGTATAGTGTAGTGTATAGTAGTGTATAGTGTAGTGTATAGTAGTGTATAGTGTCGTGTATAGTAGTGTATAGTAGTGTATAGTGTATAGTAGTGTATTGTGTAGTGTATAGTAGTGTATAGTAGTGTAGTGTATAGTAGTGTAGTGTATAGTAGTGTACAGTGTAGTGTATAGTAGTGTAGTGTATAGTGTAGTGTATAGTGTAGTGTATAGTGTAGTGTATAGTAGTGTAGTGTATAGAGTAGTGTATAGTAGTGTAGTGTATAGTAGTGTGGTGTATAGTAGTGTAGTGTATAGTGTAGTGTATAGTAGTGTGGTGTATAGTAGTGTAGTGTATAGTGTAGTGTATAGTAGTGTAGTGTATAGTAGTGCAAAGTGTAGTGTATAGTAGTGTATAGTGTAGTGTATGGTAGTGTAGTGCCTCCATAGAGCCCAAAGCGTTCACTTACCGACCATCCCCCTTTTAACGGCGAGCTGCTGTAGGTACAGCAAATATTAATTAATGTATTGATTAACCACGTTTCTTTTAATATTACGTGTTTATGATGTTGTCGGTATCTTCACGTATTAATATACATTTTTGAAATATTCTAAAAGTTTTTTTGGCTGAAAAAGGGGTAACTTTCGATGGTGTCAGAACGAATTAAGCCTTTAACGTGTATTTCCTATACTCGCTTAACGGCCAAATCACTTAACGACCGGCTTCGTGGAACCGATTACCGTCGCTAAGAGGAGGAGGAGGAGGGCTTCTACTGTGTCAGCGACGCCTCCGCGACCGCTGGCGCTCGCGAGCCTTTTTTCTCTTGATAAGTCAAAAAAAACTAAAACCATTCGCCACGTTCGCACGAAGCCTCGCTTCTCGAAAAAGCAGCAGCCCCGGCTCGTGCGACAGCAGCGACGAGCCTCTTGGGAAATCACGGAAAGCAAAGCAAAAAGACGTGCCTAAGTCGCTCCCCCTCAAAACTCGAGTTCGGCTTTGGGTTGCGCTCAAAAGTCGACTCGAGTGGATGAGGTCAGTCTCACCGAGGGGCCAATGAGAACTCAGAGGTTGAACGATACCAAAGGTATCCCAGGATATAATGACGGAGGAAGATCGTCTCGGTGAAGTTTGCGGTTGTGTGAGACACTGAGATGCCACGGTAAAAACAAAACTCTAGTAATTAATTTTTTTTTACAATAAATCTGTGCAATGTGCCTACATCAGGCATGCATGCCGTAATTAATTGACCGCAATTAATTCTTACGCCCACGATACGTGTGTAAGAACCTATGAAATGGGTTTACCGTTCATTGAAAGTTGGATTCTAATTATTTGCAAATAAGAATGATTCGCAATTAGAGAATGGAGCGCACAGAACTGCACATAAAAGACAAAATAAACGGCAATTAACCCTCACGAGTTTTCCAAAATTAGGCAAACAAGAAGTCAATCCTCGAATGAATTCGCGACGCTGATTCGTGATAATTCAGGGGGGGGGGGGAATCGCTGGGCGAAGTGGAGGCGTTGGGTTAATCTTTACACGCCTAGCGCTTACAGCTTATAACCACTGTGTTTCTGTTACATACCACATACAGAACAACGCGCACACAGCCACACACCGCGGCTATGCACCAAGTCACCACCGAGTCCTGGAGTGGCCTGAATGTCGGTCCAGGCTTTGCCGTGGCCACATAGGCCATAGGGTTAACAACGAGGCCCTCATGCTATCGTAGCCTCTTCCCCGGATGCCATGGACATTCTTGCTACTCTCCTGGACTTATTGTTGAATGCCCAAGCGAATGTTAGCTGGAAAAAAATCTCCTTATCTTAATTAGAACCAACAATCTCCACGGCTCTGCGGGACACGTTTAACAAAAGGCTCCTTCAGGCACCCAACAGATTCACGATTTTGTGCCGACCCGAAATAAACGGAGATCCTGATCTTAATTTGGACGAGCGCTCTGTTACACCGTGCGCGACCTGTCTATCAATCATCAGGTTCGTGCAGCCATGCAGTGGCTTCATTTGTACTTGAACGGTTGGAAAGTGTTTGCAAATACGGATGCCAGACTGTGGTGCCGGGTTTCGCGAGGACTGGAATGGGGGACACCCCCATGGTCAGGTGGGGGTATCCCCCATGTGTGTAGCTGTCACTGGCAGCCTCTGTCAGATCGATTTGAATTGGGTTCCCGGGATGATTTTTAATCTTCTTTATCCCATTCAATCCCCGATCGAGCTATCGGCATCAACGAGACAAAGTGCGTATTCAGATCTGGCGCAGAGCAGTGCATCTCCGTGATTAAGTCAAGTAACCCAAATGGTAATCGGCAGACTCATCGATTACTTTAATAATGGAATACCCCAGCACACCCCCCCCCCCCCCAAAAAAAAAACCCTAAGATTGTTATCGTTAAGTACAGTTGACACCGCATCTTTACTAAACTATTTATTTTAGCAGGTAAGACCCACTCTGCTATATTGCTCTTTTTTCAGAAGCCACCTGGTCACAAATGATTCCCAAACGAAGTGGCTTATCATGTGGAAATTTATAGCAGCCAAATACTCTAAATGCGTGATGTTCATTAAAACATTTTGGGGGGGAAAAATCCGCACGACCACGGGGAGGACATTCAAACTCCAAATATACAGCAGGCGTCAGGGTCGGGATCGAACCTACGAACCTTCTGCATACCAGGCGAGGTAGTTAACATCTCGCCACCGCGACGGCCTTTAACCCCAGCCTGGCCCACTCCGCTGTCACCCGACGGCACACCTTCAGAACCGGTGACGACACCGCCACCCATGGACGGGCCGGCCATGGGGGCCACCTTGCGCAACAACCGAGGGCCCGATGAGGAAACGGGGTGGGGGACGCCCCGCGCTCCGCGATGACATCGTCACATCATCTAGATGGATAAACCTTCCTGGCCAAAGCAATGACATCGCTCCCCACGACGCCGCCGTAGTTACGTGCGACGTCGTCACGTTGCCCGGAGGGGGTGGTGGGGGTGGGGGGGGGTTGATGGTCCCTGCGTGGGTGTCAGTCCGCAGCCGCCACCACCGTCTCCGCGACGAGCGTGCAGCGGTGAATCCGATCCACGACCGATTCCACCGGAGGTAGCGGCAGCGGCGGCGGCGTGAGTTGGGGGGGGGGGGGGGGGGGAGGTGGGGACGTCGTCAAATGGTGATGGGGCAGGACAGGACCTGCAACTCGAGCAGGACGCTGAGCACCAGGAAGACGAAGTAGAGCAGGAACATGGAGAGGCCGAGCAGCTTGCTCATGCGCCAGCGGCACGCGGCGATGGTGCCGATGACCAGCACCAGCATCATGAAGAGCAGCAGGATGGCGCAGAAGAGGCCGTTGCTGCTGACGGTGACGGGCGCCAGCCCGTTGATCATCGAAAAGAGGAGCCACGGCAGGGGAAGGCTGTGGGAGGCACGGAGGGGGGGGGGGGGGCGTGGGTTTGTGCACGCAGACACGCACGCGCGTGCACGTTTTGGAAAAGGAAACATGTGTTTTGATGTTGTTGCTAATTTTGATCGTGTTTGCTCGTCGCCGCGTGACTTTCTGTTCTCGAGTTATAAGCGGAGTGACCGAGAAACAAAGACGTCTGTCCATGAGACGGTAGCGGTAGGGTTGGCGATGTACAAACACTTTTTTATCGTGCGCAATTTTAGTTTTTATAAACTTGATAAAGCGGCAGTGATCGACTTTGAAAATCAATCTGTGGTTAAATAGTACGAAAGAAATCGGCATCTTACCTCGTGAATTAGGGTCAGCGATTATATTACGCAGCAGTACGACGATGATGATGATGATGCTGATGATGGTAATGACGACGACGACGATGATGATGATGGTAATTGGCCTCACCCGACGGTGATGTCGAAGATGTTGCTACCGACCGAGCTGGACACTGCCATGTCCCCCAGGCCCTTGCGAGCGACGATCACGCTGGTGATGAGGTCAGGGATGGACGTCCCCGCAGCCAGGATCGTCAGCCCCATGATCTCCTCCGTGATGCCAATTGTCTCACCGACCTGGTCACAGCAGCAAGGGGGTGGGGGTGGCGACGTGGGTAGACACAACGAGACATGGGTGGTGGGGGGGGGACATGGGAAGACATTTGGGGACATGAGACACGCGGAGTGCAGAAACGTGGGGAGACATGTGGAGGCACGGTGATACACAAGGAGGGAGAGACATGGGGTGACAGGGAGAGACATGGGGAGACACAGGGAGACATGGAAAGATGCAGAGAGAAACCGGGAGGCATGGGGATACACGGGGAGACATGGTGAGACAGAAGGTTAGAGACACACGCATTAGCAGTGGAAACTCAAATTCAAACCCAGGATCTCAGCAGTGCTGGGTTCTGACCCCTGACCTCTAAGCCAAACTGAATATGAACCTTATGGCGGGACCCCGGGATCCCAGAAGACCCCAGCTCTCGCATAAACTGCGTAGCGATGTCATTTTATGTCTGTTGAAGGCGAGCGATACGGAAATCTATTCCTCTCGACGAGCTCTACACGATGTGCTAATGAAAGTTTAAAAGTTTTGTTTCTCCTGCGCATTCGTCAAATCGCAGAGAGGACGACACGACAACAGAATGACCTGCGCCAGGCAGGTCGCGACGTTTATGTGCGCGGTGGGACGGAGTCGCCAAAAATTAATGCCGTGGTTGTAATTGTCGTGGGTTTGGCGAATCAGACATTTGTGAATTCAGAACACCTTAAAATTCACAAAGGCTAGAAAACCTACATTTCATTAATTTAGTTTTTTTATATATATAAAAGGTGCTTAAATTAATATTTAGTCCCTTTAAAATGAGCAATTAATCATTAATAAAGTACCTGACACCTCCACCCCATTTGCATTACACTTGGCACAGATCATTAATCAATGAACAAACCCAACGGGCTCGGTCTCGAAGGAATGGCTTCCCTGATGATGTGATAAATTGTTACCATTCAGGGTCTCGTATGTGATTCGAAAATATATTTTAAAAAATGTTATTCTGGTGACTATAGCGGCCTCTAGTAGCTGCAGCGGTCACGTGAACCAATTTAATGCAATTTATATATATCAAATTTTTACAAATATCGATTCCTTACGCGAATAATTTACATCTATCCAGGAATTAATTTATCGCTGAATATTTGCCTGGTCACTGGTACAGACAGGAGCAGGTGGCATGTGACCAGTATCCACCACATCCATAGCGCGAGGTATATACTTGATGTGGTGTGCCGGGTCGCTGACCCAGACATCCCTGGCTAAAGCAATGCAGCACCAGGGCAAAACAATACGATGTGGGTTTAACACAGCTTCTAAAATTAGACCTGCCACTATTTGGACACATATGGAGGATGGACAACAGGAAAATGTAAAGTGTGTTGTTTGGAAAAATGGAAAGAATCTTAAAGAGAAGAAAGGCCTCATCGAGAATGCCTTGACGGCGACACGGGAGATCGGTGCCAGAAAGACGCACGCCACTGCCTGAGCGTATTGGCACAAGGCAGAGGAAAGTGGAAACAAATGACGAATGTGCAGTGGACACCTACGGGGCTATCTACCCATGGACTGTGATGATGATGATGATGAAATTCCACTTCATCTCAAGACGAAAGTGTCCACTGTAGAGAAAGAGTGGACATATTTAATGTATGGAGAGAAAAAAAATCCCAGGGGGGGGGGGGGGGGGGAGTCAGTCAGAGGCAGGGACAAATCTAAACTCTACAGTTTGAAATTTAACAGGGGGCAGGGTTGTCGACAGTACGGATGGCTGGGGGAAGATTATTTCATGCAGTAGCGTGGCCAGCCACACGCCTCCAATTATCAGGGTTTTGGCGACGTACGGTGCCAAAGAAGTTCAACATCCATACACGACTACACTTGAGAACTCGGTTAAATCGCAAAGGTGGCTGAAGTCCAGATTTAAACCGAGGATCCCAGCAGTACCACTTGAGTGTCTCGGCCACCTGTGCTATGCCTCCACTCCGTAAGGCAGGGGTGGGGAACCTTTTTTTTCTGCCAAGCGCCATTTGGATATTTGTAGCATCATTCGCGGGCCATAGAAAAGTGATCAACTTAAAAATTAGCCGGTTACATTTGGTCAAACTTTTAATTAACTCACCCATAATGCGATGGCTGGAACTGCTTCCCTTTGGCGAGGCGTGTGATGATGTTAGCCGGTATTGATGATGTTGCTGCTACTCGCAACTGCTTTTCCAGGTTTGCTCCTAGATTTATTGAATTTCGAGTCCCGCCTGCGGTTGCCTTGGCAGGGCCAGAGACCCAAATGACTCCGCGGGGCCTTACACGGCCCGCGGGCCGGACGTTCCCCCACCCCTGCCGTAAGGTAAATTGTAATGCAATGGAACTAAGTGAAAAATGCACGGACGGAGAAATAGAATGAATTTTATCTTATCAAGGATTTTATAGAGGGCTTTTGTCAAGGCTTTTGTAAAAGCGCCGTACAAGAATAACAAAATATGTACATTAGTTATTGGCTGATGGTGGGGGGGGGGGGGGATGCGGTTTGAGTGTTGGGCACGGGAAGGTATGGAAGGAAGGGGGATGAGGTTCAGAAGGGGTAAGGATGGTGAAGGTTTTCAGGACGAGAACAGCAACAAGTAGAGGGATACGCTATTGAAAAAAAAGTCTTAAGGGAGGCACTAAAGATGGTGTTAGTGAAGTTGCGTGTTTGATGTGGAGCGGGAGTTTATTCCAGTGGAGGGAGAAGGAGCGGAAACGTGACTGGGCACACGGAGGGGGAATAAGTTAAATAAATAGACGCACGACCGCACGTCCATCAGCAGAGTGTGTCATGCTGCCTGCGACGTCACGGGTTGCTCACCTGGTGGGCCCACCACACCATCAGGTAGGAGAACATGGCGATCCAGAGGATGGACCCAAAGAAGGCGATGATGAAGAACTTTTTGGCTTCCTGAATCGCACAGGGGGGGGGGGGGGGGGGGGGGGGAGACGCCGCGGTCGGCACACCTCGCTGTCCACGCGGGATAATAAACACTAAACCACAACAACAACACCACCACCGCCACCGCCACGACCAGCCCACTCCCCTCAGTGGTCTAGCGACGAAATTATCAGCTCAGGCGGTGCGGCAATCGGTCAGGTGGGGGCCTCAAAAACATGTTAGCACTTAGGTGGGACTATCGTTAATGGAAAAAGAACAGAAAATACACTCTAACGTGATAATAAATGTACGTTAATAGCTTCTGCAAGTTAAAGAGCCTCCACTTGTTCGCCATCGTTGTCAACACGTGACCTGGAATCATCTCCAGGTGGTCTCCAGAGCCCGGAGACAGCAATACATTTCTTGCGGGTTTTTTTGCTAATTCTCGGAAGTGTTCACGTTTTTTTTTAAGCGCCCTGTATATCGCGGCTCCTCTTGCCTAATAACATCGCTACACACGTCTGTGTTCCTTTACACTAGTTTTTGAAAACAAATCTCATGGTGTTTGTTAAGGGGGCCCCAACTCGGAGGGGCGGGCAAGGAAGCCACCCACTGCCCCCACGCTCGTTACGCTCCTGCCTCCCCCCCTACAGCCTGAACAGACTGTTGGGGCAAGTGCTGTTAGCGAGTAGCACCTATGAAGGCCGACACGGCGCACGAGAGGGGTGGGTGGCCAGCACCACGCCCGGCCGCCTTTCTCTCCGCAGTGCTGATGTTTAGACGCCACAACAGGTACTAATTTAAGGCTGAGTCGACCTAGGGGAGGCCCATGACCGGTTCAGATAATCGTCACTGGTGGTGGCCGTGAGCGGGAATCGAACTCGGGTAGTTGCCGTTATAGTGTTAGTGTAGCTAACCGCTATAGTGTAGCTAACCGCAACACAACCACTATACCGGCAACACACACACACACAGACACACATGTTAATCTATATAGATACGCAGTGGGTTCACTGAGTATATAGATACACGAGTCGACCGAGGGGAGGCCCAGGAATGGTTCAAATATTTGCCACTGTTAATGGTCGTGAGCTGGAATCGAACTCGGCTTGCCGGGTTTGAAGCGCAGACCGCTGAGCACTGCACCACCGCTCCCCACAAGACTCTACAGCAGTGTTCATCACTAATTTTATAGTGGGGGGGCCACTTTCGCCGATGAGACATCATCAGTGCGAAGGCCACGCCACACCATTTGAAACCATTGGGGGTATGACAGCAGCACGGTGATGACGAGGGAGTGTTTTTCACTCTTTGTGTATCGTCAGAGGGCCGCACTAAAGGCCACCAGGGGTCACCAGTGGCCCGCGGGCCTTGCAATGAAGAACACCGCTCTACAGGCATGCACAACAAGGCAAAGATCCTCCGTGTAGCCTGTAACAGACTGTCGGGGCAAGTGCTGTTAGCGAGCACCTATGAAGGCCGGAACGATACACGACGGGGTGGGTGGCCAGCACCGCGCCCGACCGCCTTTGTCTCCCCAGTGACGATGTTTACACACCACACCAGGTACTCATTGGAGGCTGAGTCGACCTAGGGGAGGCCCGGGACCGGTTGAGACAATCGTCGTTGGCGTTGGCCGTGAGCGAGGAATCGAACCGGGCCCGCCGGGTTCGTAGCGCAGCGCGGCGCTAACCGCTCCACCGCCGCTCCCCCGCACCGCACGCGTTCCCCCACCGGCTTGCGGACGTCGGGCAGCGTGGCCCAGAGGGGCAGCACGATGGGCAGCAGGAGGAGATAGGAGAGACGCTTCCTCCACGTTGACGGCCACTTGAGGCTCATGGGAATCTCGGAGTCCTCCTCCTCCTCCTCCTCTGCGCCCAGAGCCCCGTCCGCCTTGCGGCGACTCAGGGTGCCCACCTCCGAAGCCGCCGGCTGCTGGGACATGGCCACTGTGATTGTCACTGTCGTCATCGCCTAAGTCAGCAGCAGCAGCGGCAGCGGCAGCAGCGCCACCAATAATCGGCCAATTATCAAACATCATCACGACATTGTCGCAGTCATCGTCATCGTTAATGATCAACACGTCATCATCATCATCATCGGGATAGCCATAGTCATCATCAGTAGTGGACACAGTATCAACAGCAGCATGAGCTACAGTAAGCAAAACCATTATCATCGGCACTGGTATCTTCATCGGCAGCAGCATTATTATCCATGGCATCATGATCAGCGACAGCAGGACCAGAACATTCGTTATCATCAACAGCAGTCGCGCCACGTGCACTTGCGCGCTTCCTATCGGCGTCGCGATCAGCCCCTTCGGGCGACTCACAGCTTAGCGCCACGGCACGTGGATTTTTCATGTTTGTTGTTTGTGTTGCTGGTGACTTTGTGTGTTTCGTATCGGAATCGCCTCCAGTGCTGTTGCTGCTGGCGGCAATAAAAAGTTGTTTAAAAAGTTTCCCTCTCTCACTCACTCTCTCTCTCTCACTATCTCTCCCTCTCTCTCCCGTCTCACCTCCTCTCTCATTCTCTCTCTCACCTCCTCTCTCATTCTCTCTCTCACCTCCTCTCCCATTCTCTCACTCTCTCACTCTCACTCACTCTCTCTCACTCTCTATTTTTTCCTTTTTTTTACGATCAGAGGAAACAAGAAGATGCTCGGTGTAGTCGGCACTTTGCTTCGTTCATCATTTCGTTTTTTTTAATGCTTTGCTTTATGTAACCCCCCCCCCCCCCCTTTTTAAATGAAAGATTTAACAAAATATTTCTCGCTCTGCTCTCCTTACCCTTTCCCTCTCTTTCTACCCCCCTCTCTGCCCCCCCTCTTTCTCTACCCCCCTCTCTTCCTACTCCATGTGGCTCTCCCTCGCGCTCTCTCTCTCTTGTTCTCTCACTCTCTCTCTGGCTCTCACTCTCTTCTTTTATTAAACTACGACAAGTGCTGCATCTGCACGCAGCCTTTCTAGCAGTCCATCTGCCACCGAGCACACGGCCTCCTCCAGCGCCCACTGCTCCTTGAAGGCCGGCACGGCGTGGGTCAGCCGCGCATGGCGGAACTCCAGCACACACACCCTGGCTCCGACCAGAGCGCGGAAGATGGCCCAGGCTGCTGGCCGGACGTTTCCCCTCCAGGGCCACCTTCCTCGCCCTGTATATGGCGAGCTTGGCGTAGCCGACAAGCACGTTGACCAGCCCCTACAGATGTTGGGGTCCGTCGCCCTTCAAGTATCAAAAGATGAGGACCATCGGGGAGAAGTGGAGGCTGAACCTTAGGAAGATGTTTCTCAGGACCTTGAACAACGAGTCCAGGCTCTTGCACTCCACGTATTGGTGCGCCACCGTCTCCACTTTACCGCAGAACCGGCACTCCGGGGACGTATCGGTGAAGCGCGCCAGGGAGGCGTTGGTGGTGACGGTGCCGTGGGCGATGCTCCAGCTGAGGTCGCCGCTCACCCCCACTCTCTCTCACTCCCATCACCTCCTCTCTCATTCTCTCTCTCTCTCTCACTCTCTCTCCGAGGAGGAGGAGGAGGAGGGGCAGCGCACCTGCCCGTCAGCGGCCAGGACGGTGCCTCCGTTGGTCTTGTCGTCGGCGGCGGCGGCGTTCACCTCCCCGTCCTTCAGCGCCTTGGCCGTCGCCTCCGGGGCTCCGCTGCAGCCATCTGGCAGCCGAAGTTTTGGGCAGAGCGCAAGCCAGATTACCAATCACCGGAGCGACGGACCCGAAATGCGGATTACCGGCCGCAGTCTGTGCTCCTTCGACGCGGCAGGAGTTGCCTTCCTGAAGAACACCGCTTAACGGAAACATCGCGTTGTCATACATATTTTGCAATATGGGGTGAGGGCGCAGTCCTCGACAAGGCGTGAGATGCGCACGCACGCCGGACAAAGGCCGAGGCGCGTCGGTAGCGTCGAGAAGCATCCAGCAGCATCCCAACGCCTCGTGCGACGCTACGCCGAGGCGGCCGCACGACCGCTTGTTCCTACTCGCGCGACGTAGCTGCGTTCGCTCGATCGCGTTATATCCAATTCGCGTCATGAAAGCACGTGGCGTTGTAGTAGAACAGAATCTGAGGTGTGTAATTTAGTTGCCGCTTACAAGTGTGGGACGATTACATTGCAGGTGTCCCTCGCTCTGCGCGGTAGAGGATGCGTTCCAAAAAGAAATGGGCGCACAAAGCGAAATCGCGAAGCGTGGACCTGACAGTCACCCGACCAAACAATACCCGTGGCTAAGAATTGAGCACAGCTTGTTGGACACGTGCCCTGCTACAGAGAATCGTTTTGCCACGTGACAATAGAACGAATATTTACGTTCATCAAAGCTGGAATTTTGGCCAAAATAAGTGCAAAACCACATTATAAAAACGGGGTCGCAGTTGCAATCGTTTGGTGATCCTGGCTGAGACCACACAATTCAAGTAAGTGGGCACCACCGCCTCTCTCGAATGAACTGCACTGCAGAAGCAACACTGAATGTGCTGCACGCGCCCAGCGATGACGGGCCAACGCCAGACCTGGCCTCGTGGGAAACGCTGCTGCGTAGATCCCACGAGAGATCGTCTTGTTCATGAAAAATAAAATGACCGATGAAGCCACCGCCACCGCGATTGCATTCCAGTCTCTCGTTTAAAGAACACCCAAAGCGTTTCGTTAAATTGGTTCCTGCTTGGGTGAGGTCATCGCGCACAAAATTAGTGCGCCGTAAAACCCCTCCGCCACCCGACACAGCCGATTTCATAAAAAAAAAATGTCACGGGAATCAAACGTGAGCAATTGAATCATAGAACAAAGACCAGGCTTTACCCTTGAAGATGTTCAATCACTAAATAGACACCTATAGCAAGACGTAAAGTCTGCATTAACCGCACGTGCTTGTTGTAAAAAACTTTCAAACAAACATGGCTCTGATAATAATAATATATGCAGTGTCCTTGAAACCGATTGTCCTACACCAGAGACATCCTCCTTTATATGACCTTGTCTCACCGGTGTTAGACCAGAGAACGCTAAAAGGCGAACTTGCACAAAGGCAGTGCTGACATTAAAGCATGAACAGCAGCTTGGGTTAAGCAGTCGTATCTATTTAATGTTTGAACATCTAAACACCGTTCTCTTGCCGGTAAGGGTAGAGCCTATTTTTTATTTTATTGTTATTATTATTAGAGAAAAATAATTCACCATCTTAATACTACTGTTGTTGTCTTGGAAGAGTAATCTCAAGACATTTAAATGACGAGCGTTAAAAGATCAGAAGTGGATTTTCGCAGGCCCCTAGAAGTGGAGCATGGAGCCGCCACCAAAAACGACAAAAATCAATAAAGGTTTTTTTTGGGTTAGATCGAGCAAATATAAATGTGCCGTTAACTCACCACCACCCGACACAGACAATTATTAAGTTTTGTTAAGTAAACAAAAAGGGACAATTAGTTATTGCTTCAGCACACCGTTGTGTTGGAGAGTAAACTCACAACATGTACAACTTTACAAGACAGAGGAGAAGGCTGGGAGAGGAGAGAGAGGATGAGGAGAGGAGAGAGGGGAGGAGAGAGGATGAGAGGATGAGAGGAGAGAGAGGATGCGGAGAGAGGAGAAAGAGGGGGAGAGAAGAGAGATGAGATAGGAAGAGGAGAGAGTGAGAGAGAGAGGAGGAAAAGAGGAGAGAGAGAGGAGAGTAGAGAGAGGAAGAGTAGAGAGGGGAGGAGGAGGAGGAGGAGAAAGAGGAGGGGGAGAGGAGAGAGAGGAGAGAGCGAGCACACACGGAGACAGGAGAGGCAGCAGAAGATGCCGTGCCTCCTCGTACCGGCCGTGGCCATGCAGGTCTGTGCGGGGGAGAACGCCGCTTCGGACGTCTGGTAGAGCTGCTCCTGCAGGTGAGCTGTCAAGGAGACGCAACGTCCACCAGGTTCATGGCTAAGCCGCCGCCGCCACCGCCGCCGCTGCTGCTGCTGCTGCTGCGAACGTTTGAAAGTCTACTTCTAAAACTCGGTGAGGAGTTTGAGATCGACGCAGCGGATAAGCGAACATTTTTTTGTAATGGTTGAGCAGACTTCTGCAAACACGACCGCGAAGCTCAGGGTCAACAGAGAGCGACAGTTTCTGAGCTCGCTTCCCCCAGTCAACTCTGCCTCGGTCCCTTTCCCCTGCGCTTTCAAATCTCTCCACAACTTTCCTTCTCATCCCTCGTACCCAGTGGCGCAACGAGCGGGGGGGGGGCAGGGGGGGTGTGCCTTGCCCCCCCCCCCCACCCCCTCGGTGGCCAAAGCTACTGAGATGGGGGACACGTCGACAACCACCATGAGATTTGTTTTCAACAACAGCGTCAAAGAAACAAAAAACATGATTGAAAACGCCATTTAATTCGTTTTGTAATGTTAAAATGCTTTCACTTACGTTCCACGCTTTATTTTAATGGTAATCAGAGCGGTCGCGTTTGGCTTCCGCGAAATTTGCTCCAATGAAATATTGGGTGCCCCACCGTGACGAATGGCGCACCACACCGGGGCTGCTAATTGTCGTGACTACGCCACAGCTCCTGTCTTCGGATTTCCCCATTCACTGGCTTCCTTCCCTCCCCTTCCCCTTTGCCCGCTCCCTCCCGTTCCCTCCGGCTCCCCCAGGCTCCCCACGCCGACCCTGCGCTCAGGAGACGTTCTTTACACTCTGGGGGCGCGTGGCCGAATGTGAGTTGACGTTTTAGTTTTCGTCGTCAGCCAACTATCGTAAACCCAGCGCTGCGCAGTTATCATCCCCACGTAGATGTTTACGGTACCACCGATTAGCGCGGTTGCCTACGTGTGCTGCGAAAGATGCTCAACACACATGCAAACGTCGAATCTTGACTTAACGCTTTCGTGACTGCAGGAATTCATATTCTTTGGGTCTTTCGGTAAAGTCACGTGGGTAGGTTCAAAGAAAATAACAAAAAACTACGACGTTTCGATCGCAACACAAGCGATCGTCATCAGGATGATTATTTGAACCTACCCACGTGACTTTACCGAAAGACCCAAAGAATAAGAGGTCGAGTCCTCTTGTCAATCCACTGCTGGACAGAGAGGGCAGCCGTGTAATCGTCATACCGGGTGAGTGTCAATTCCCGGTGCATGTGGCCGCATCTCACCGTCGTTCTTACCTTCTTTTGTGATCGTTTCGTAGAACTTCTGGTTGGATCCGACTCCGTGAATCTCTGAAAAGGACGCACCGGAGTTTCCAATCATCCCGCTGAGAATCCTTGTCGGCGGAGGGACCGACCATGTTCAGGTCACATGGGCACACGGATCACTTAATCCCATACTCAGCCACAGCTCGGTATCACTCAGGGGGTCTACCTTGCGGTCATTACTTAACACGCTAAAGCATCAACCACAAACCAACACTCTCTAGCCCAGGAAACGTGGACACTGGGGTCAGAAAACGGAAGCAAAATCTGATCAGCGTGCTAAGAAGCAGAGAGAAATTGCACGCTTGGACTTTACAATGAGCGACATGGAGAGAAAGACGTGGAGCAGAGAACGATAAATTGCTGCATGAGGGAATCCCCAGGCCACGTGAGTCATTGATGGTTATTTGACCATACTTCACCACGCTGGGCAGTCCGGGTTGAGAGAGTGCGGGGGGGAGAACGGATGCTGGGGGCATAGACGTACAGTACAACATTTGATTTTGCTGTACGTTTTAATAACAGTCGATGTGATCTCTCTAAGCTGCGTACATCCTCTAATCCACGTGTTCCTCGTTCCGTCTCTCAATATAATTCCCAGCGTGCGTCTCTATTGATGTTTCATGCAAATCCGTAGAATTGTCCGGGTGGCTCAGCCGGTGGAAGGGAACAGCTCGCGAGTTGAATGTTGCGAGTTCAAATCCTGGTTGGGTTTGGGTGGGGTGGGGGGCGAAGTTGATTCAGCCCATCATCCCTCCGGGGTCAATAAAATGAAAAGTACCACTTTGTAGGGAAGTCACGAGTGGAAGTCCTGTGAGTAGACACGCCCTCCCTCCCCCTCCCCGCCATAGCAATGAGAAACCGCTGGCTCGCTAGGGCCGTCGACAGGACACGGGCAGGGCCCCCAGTGCTCACTCGAGCAGGAAATAACTCTGACTCGTGAAATCGGGTAACATCGAGAAGAAAAAAAATTTGAAAGTTCTGCGCGCTTATGAAATTTTCAGGCCTCTCCTCGGGGCGACCTTTGTGCCATAATAAAAAAATAAATATAAACTATATATACTATTGAGTCTTTCGGTCAAGTCACGTCAATAAAATAATAATAGATCACGACGCTACGATCGCAACACAAGCAATCGTCTTCAGGTGAGAGAGACTTGACCAGAAGAACCCAAAAAGAGCAGGAAATCCTACTTGATTTGGTGCTTTCGTGACTATCTCTGTGTGTCTCTGTGTTATCTCTCTCTCTCTCTGCTTATGTGCCCGTCGATGTGTCTCCGGTTCTGTGTTTTATCTCTCTCTTAAATTTAGCAATCTTTGGAAGAACGTTAAATCAACCAGGTAGGGTGTTGACTGTTATGTTAACCGACTATCTGTGTTGTATTCCATCATATTTCTAAGTTCACTAGGTTTGTTTTCTCTTTCATTTGCACCTGATGATGATTGCTTGTGTTGCAATCGAAACGTCGTGTGCTAATATTGAATTTATTATTTTCTCTTTCTACGTGACTTTACCGAAAGAACCAAAGGTCATGAATTCCTGCAGTCACGAAAGCTTTAAATCAAGATTTAAACGCGAAACTATTTCTACTTTATCGGGCAAGGCCCACTGAGCCATGTAGCTCTTTTTCAGAAGCGACCTGGCCATCACAAATGATCGCTCAACCGAAGTGGCTTGTCATCACGTGGAAATATATCGCAGCCAAATACTCTAAAATGCACATTGATTCTAAATGTGGAGGGGAAAACCGGATGGATCCGGATAAAAAGCCACGTGACCACGGGAGAGACAGAGAGAGAATTGCCCGATGATGCTGGAAGTATTTACCAGCGAAACGTCGTACTCAAACTGTAAATGTGGATTAACTCTTCAACACACCGGTGGGCTGAAGTAGTGAATTATTTGTCTTTGTCAACGTGACACTTTTTTTTGCTGATTGGCCGTGTCGGGTGGTGGAGGGTTACGACACATTTATAAATAAACGCGATCTAACCCAAGAACCTTTATTATGAATAATATTGGTCGCGAAAGCCTACGTGTTAAACTGAGAGAGAGAGAGAACACGCAAACTACACAAATACAGATGCCAGCGTTGAGATCGAACCCACGACCTCCCGTATACCAGGCGAGGGAGATAACATCCCCGCGTCACCGAGGGGGGTGACAACAGGGGCGATCTCGTCGTGGCGGTATCGGTCGCTCACCTTCGCCCAGCGGCTCCAGCGAGTAGATCATGAGCTGGAAGAGGCTGTTCCTCATGATCTTGCTCGCGCGAGTCGGCGGCGCCCGCTCCCCCACGCCGCGCACCGCCTTTGTGGCCCGGTCGGAACCCGCGACCTGGGCACGAGGGCAGACACCGCGCAGGGACAGAGACGACGACGGCGGAGGGAGGAGAGACGACAGAGAGACAGAGGGACAGAGAGACAGAGGGAGAGAGACAGAGACAGGGGGAGAGAGACGACAGATTGGGGAGAGACAGAGACAGAGAGACAGAGCGAGAGAGACGACAGTTTGGGGGAGAGACGACAGAGAGACAGAGGGAGAGATACAGAGACAGAGCGACAGAGGGAGAGAGACGACAGAGAGACAGAGACAGAGGGAGAGAGACAGAGACAGGGGGAGAGAGACGACAGATTGAGAGAGAGACGACAGAGAGACAGAGGGAGAGAAACAGAGAGACAGAGGGAGAGAGACAGAGACAGGGGGAGAGAGACAGAGGGAGAGAGACAGAGACAGGGGGAGAGAGACGACAGATTGAGAGAGAGAGACGACAGAGAGACAGAGGGACAGAGACAGAGAGACAGAGACAGAGGGAGAGAGACAGAGACAGGGGGAGAGAGACGACAGATTGAGAGAGAGACGACAGAGAGACAGAGGGACAGAGACATAGAGACAGAGACAGAGGGAGAGAGACAGAGACAGGGGGAGAGAGACGACAGATTGAGAGAGAGACGACAGAGAGACAGAGGGAGAGATACAGAGACAGAGAGACAGAGGGAGAGAGACAGAGAGACAGAGGGAGAGAGACGACAGTTTGGGGGAGAGACGACAGAGAGACAGAGGGAGAGATACAGAGACAGAGAGACAGGTGGAGAGAGACGACAGAGAGACAGAGGGAGAGATACAATGACAGAGAGACAGAGGGAGAGAGACGACAGAGAGACGGAGGGAGAGAGACAGGACAGGGGGAGAGAGACGACAGTTTGGGAGAGAGACGACAGAGAGACAGAGGGAGAGAGACGACAGTTTGGGAGAGAGACGACAGAGAGACAGAGGGAGAGAGACGACGGAGACAGAGGGAGAGAGAGACAGACAGAGAGACAGAGACAGAGGGATGACAGATTGGGAGAGAGACAGACAGAGAGACATAAGGAGGAGAGACAACAGATTGGAAGAGAGACGACAGAGAGACAGAGAGAGTAAGAGAGACACAGAGAGAGAGGGACACGTAAACGGGTGGAGCCCGTTTCAATCGGCGAGCCGGGGAAATATTTTTACACCCGGGGCACCACGTCAAGTGTAGCTGTCCCTATGGCTGTGACCACGACTGGTCACGTGCCACCTCCTGCCGTCGGCTGATGTTAGCCGTCTTCCACTGTGTGTGAGCGTGTGCGCGTGTGCGGCTTAATTTACGCGTGGACAGCGGTTCGGTTTTATGTTTGGTCGTTTGTAAAGTGGTGACTTATACGTTTGTTGCGGGAATCCTTTCCCGCCCAGAAATTCCGGCTCTGCGAGGTTTTACTGCGCCGTACATAGCAGGGACGCAATGGTCAGTGTCAACATGTCCTTAGGGCATCGCTGCTCGAGAGACGCAAAAGTGAATGGTGACAGGACCGCCCCCCCCCCCCCCCCCGCGATTGTGACAGGACCCTGATAAAAATGAAATATTGAGACTTGGGCGAGGCTTCCCTGCGTAAACAAAGCGGCGTAATTACAACAATTACCATAATAGTCGTCACTCGCATGGACCTGGGCCAGCGGAGGTCCGTTCCAAACGCATTTCCCCTGCGCGGGGCTGGCACGCAGAGGGCGTGCAATTGCGGATTTGCCACGTTTGCATTTTTAACTCTGGGTTTACGAGCACACGGCACGGCAGCGGAAGATTCGAGGATTTCCCCCCCCCCCCCCCACCCGACTCATAATTAGTTTTTTTATTTATCCTGGAGAAATCTGATGAGCTATGAAGCTCATTGTCACGGATGTCAAGTATGGGCGGCTCAGAGAGTTACAACAGGGCCCATGCACAGCTATCCCCGTGCGTTCTGGGGCTCCAGCTACGTGGGCAGTTCGTTGTTGTCCCTTTTCCGCCATCATTTCCCACGCTTAACTCCGCTGTCGCTGGGAGCTTCTTGAGGAATTGAATTCCAGGGGATTATGCGCTCTCCTTACGGACGGAAACGTCGGATGTCGTGTGGCAGCAAAATAAAAAATAAATAAAAATAAAAACTGCGCGCTACGACCTGGGCACGTCAGAGAGCTGTGCGGCGGCATGGCCGCAAACAGCCTACGCAGTGACAAAATAAAATAAAAAAGAACAAACCCAGCACGTTCATCCCAAGCACGTTTAACCCCTTTCCCGTTCCGATGACATACGTCATCAGTTTATCTTCCGATTCTGTGCCGATTACGTACGTGTACGTCGTCGGAACGGAACCGGAAGGAAAAATAAAATATCTTTATCGGTACCGAGGCTCCCACAAGGCCATGCAGGAGGGCATGCGCCACAGCTATCATAGAATGCGGTTGTGTCACTACAGTTCACTGCGGTGAGCACAATATATTTAAATACAATGGCGCTATGGCTCTAAATGAAATTATTGCTAAAACGCTTGCACGTTCTAAGATTCAGCAGCGAAGGGGACCCACCCTGCAACTTGCAGACGTCTTGCACCGGGAAAGGGTTAATTGTCTGAACAATGTGATGCCTCTAACGTGGAAAAAAAACCTGGAAGTTGCTTAAAAATATCACCGAGAGGAACTTGAAATTTCCCTGGTCCATATTTAGCCCAAGCTCGGTATTCCTTCAAGGGTGGTTTCTACCAGTCATAAATTAACACATCAAAGCATCAGCACTCTCAATCCACAATAATGGGCTGTGCTATTTATAGTAAAAAGAAACCCGCCGGTATTTGTTTTTCTGTGCAGCCGTTGGTGCACGACCGTCGATGCGGCTATAACGCACACGAACTTGGCGCTTAATCTCGGCGAGAGGCCCTGGGAGTCGAAACAGAGGCGTCCTGAGCACCAGCTCCGTGCCGCACGGCAGCCCGGCGCGTCATTCGCGATGCGAGCCCCACCTCCAGCTGCGTCTCCATCGTCTTCATCACGTCCAGAGGGTCCGAAGAGCTCCCGCTCGCCTGCGGCGACAAGAGCAACAACGCGGGTGAAGCTCGCGGGATCCGGGCCAATGAGCGCGGCCGCGGTACCGTGTCGCTTTCAGACGCGCTTCTACGGCCGTCTGGAACGCTCTCCCTTCCGGTAGTGGAAGTCGACTTGAAAAAAAGTGAAGCGATGTTGACGTTGAGATTTAAATGTCTTCGTGTGGTGTGTGTGTGTTTGTTCGCGTTTTTGTCGTAAATCATTACCCACGTGACTACCAAACATTCCCACGTCCCCGTGAGTGTCCTGCTTGTCATCGTGTGGACAGAGTCAATGATTTGGAAGAGCGACGTCAAGCCGGTAACCCTCGCAGGAGCAGCAGCAGCAGCGGCGGCTTTTGGCTGGCCATTGCACAAAGACGGTCACTGCATCGCGCGCTTTCAGATGCGCTTCTGCGGCCGTCTGGAACGCTCTTCCTTTCGATATTAGGAAGCCACTGGAGCTGTGCACGTTTACATCTGAATTGAAAACGCATTTCATTAAAACTGCTTTTTTGTGTTTAGTTTGTTGTCCTTCCCCCCGCGCATCTGATGAGCACGGTTGGCTATGTATGGTGGGGAAAAAGTTCAACATACATATACATACATACATGCCGATTATACAATCGGCATCACGTCGTCAAGTGTCTCACGGAAGGAGATACCGCAGAACTATATCTGAAATCCGTTCACGTAACCTCTCATCCACATGAAAGTCTGTACTATGTAATCCGCACACCAACATAGAGAAGTTAATCACAGAACAGTTTTAAGATTTTATTGTGCTCACAGCTGCCGGATATTACACGAATTAAATGAAAAGCCAAAATTTATTTGAATGTTTTGTTTGTCTGTGTGTCTCTGTGTGTGTGCAGCTATTGGTGATTGGGCTAAGAGCATCACCTAGCTACACTTGCGATTTAATCGGCGGCTATGAAAAACCTGGCTTTACTTCCCGGCTGTTCCCACCGACGCCGGCACGGCGCTAAACCTACCCGTGGATGGCGAGGATTGGGTAAATGCGAAACGATGAATTTCACCGGCCACACGAACACAGAGCCGGTGAATGAAACACGTGTCAATCAAAAGGACAGGGGCGGGGGGATGAAAGCGGTGAGTTAAACAAAAATAAATATATCGATACGGGGACCGCGTTAGCGAGGGTGTACAGGCGGGGCAAAAAGACGACACATTAAACACGGAGAGCGGCCCTATAACGGCACACACAAAAAAAATAAAGAGAAAGATCCCCCGTATAGCCTGAACAGACTGTTGCGGCAAGTGCTGTTAGCGAGCACCTATGAAGGCCGGCACGGCACACGAGGGGGTAGGTGGCCAAAACCAAGCCCGGCCGCCTTTGTCTCCCCAGTGGTAATGTTTACACACCGCTGCAGGTACTCCCTTGAGGCTGATTTGACCTACGGGAAGCCCAATAACGGTACAGATAATATAATCGTCACCGGTGTTTGCCGACTTGGGTCGTTGCCGTTCTAGCGGTAGTGTAGTGTAGCTAACCGCTGTAGTGTAGCTAACCGCTAACCGCTACACTACCGCTATAATGACAACACACACACACAGACACACACCTTAATTTATATACGCAGTGGGTTCACGTGTTGGCCAATAGCTCTTCTCCAGAGCAGAGAGCAGAGAGAGAGAGAGAGCAAAGGGATTTGCTGCCAAACGAACAGATTTGACTTGACGCGTGAACGATTTTCCAATCGTGGACGACGGAGTAGCAGACACGACCGTTGCGGTTTGTGGTGAGATTTATTTTTTATTTTTCCTCTTTTTTAAAATTCTTCGTTTTATTTTTATTCTTCTTCTCCTCCTCCTCCTCTTCCTCATCCTGCCACGAAACGACGCGGTGCCGGTGTTGGCAATTGTGGAAGACAATCGCGATGCCCGGGTCGCGCGCGGCTTTCCCAAGTGCGTTTTTGCAAAACAATGCGTTCGGATCACCGATATTATTTCGCCGCTGTGAATTGGCACGCGATGGGCCGCCTTGTCGAGCGATCGTTTGTGGCCGGTTCGCCTCGGGAAAAATAAGTCAACGCCTCGGTGAGCTCTGCCTGGTAGGATGGGGATGGTTTAATTTGATTTGTCTCTATGTTTAAGTGATTTGTTTGCCTTTCCTTCACTTTGCGCTCGTACCACGTGTTTCCGTTGTTTGTTGTCGTAACGTTCTTACCCCGTGCCCCTCATGGATATCTTTGAAAAAGAGCTTTATAGCTCATCGGATTCCTCCAGTAAAAAATATATTTTTCTGATTCACATTTTTTTTCTCCGGTGAATTTGTTTTCCTGCTGTGCGCCTCTTCGACCGCGGCTCACAAGCCCGCCGCGATCTTCCAATCACCGCGACTGTACGATCTGCGACACGCTCGCGACACGCGTGTCTCCACCTCTCTCTCTCTCTCTCGCTCTCTCTCCCCGTGTGCCGTGTCCTTCCTCAAAGACGCTTCCGATCATGGCCTGCCGTCTAGCTCTCTCCATGATACTTACTCAAGGACTTCCTCGTTACATACTCCCGGTTTGAATACAATTGTTCAGATTGCTTGTGTGCGTAATTCACAGTCTTCCCCGGCTTCTTGCACCGATCATTTTCCCGCTCATGACAAATTAAAATGCATTCTCTTGTTTGTTCGTTTTTTTATTGCATGTTCAACAAACATGACTTGCCTTTCCTGCAATGGTCCAGGCGTATACTTTGACTTCGGGTACGGCATAAAACAATAATGTTTAATTGTCGGAGCAGATATTTAGTTCGAACTTTAATTGCTGAGTTCGTTATTTCACGAACAATTTGTGTAGGAAATAACAGAAATGCTCAACGCATTCGTCAACAACACTGTGGCATTTACATTATGAGACCTCCTTTGCCAGTAACAAGATATAGGAATAGGTTTTACCCTTTTACTGGCACAAAAACTGACACCTTTATTCAATGCATCATGTTTGCAATAACAAGGACAGTGCATATTATTATCAGAGTTGTCTTTTTTGTTTGCATTTTGACTGCTTGTGTTGTGGTTATTGCAAACATGATGCCTTGAATAAAGGTGTCAGTTTTTGTGCCAGTTAAAAGGGTAAAACCTATTCCTATATCTTGTTACTGGCAAAGGAGGTCTCATAATGTAAATGCTCACCCCGAGCCCTCAATACTCTGATAGTGCGCTGTTTTTGAGTTGTATGCCTTTTGGCGTCTGCTGGTCCAACACCAATGGAGACTAGGATCTAAAGAAAGCCGTCTCGGGTGTGGACCAATCAAATTCAAGGACAGTGCATATTATTATCAGAGTTGTCTTTTTTGTTTGCATTTTGACTGCTTGTGTTGTGGTTATTGCAAACATGATGCCTTGAATAAAGGTGTTAGTTTTTGTGCCAGTTAAAAGGGTAAAACCTATTCCAACACTGTGGCCCTTAAAGCAATATATGTAATAGGTGTTGGTTTGGGCAATCGGCCTTCTTCACAGCGTACATATAAATTTGCAATGAAGAAGGGCCATTGCTTGAAACGTTGCCTATTATATATTTTCAGTTAAAGGTAGTGAAGATTGGCGAATGCGTTGAGTCCTACAAAATCGCTACGTGTTGCTTGCGCGCTGTTGTCAATGTGGGATCATACAGAAGCACGTGGCTAATGATAGTGATGACAACGACGATAACTCTGGCGTTTAAATTATGAAATGTGACAACAAGGACTGCATCATGGGAATAGCCCCACGACACACACAGCGAATCACGCACGTCATGCCGCGTGAATGTCGACGTCTGTGGTGTGTGTAAATGACACGCTAATGATATGCCAATGCGTCCTTAGACTAACGGGTTAAACAAAACTATGCAAACGAGACTAAGAAAAAACGCAGCAATAACACAAACAAGGCAGTACAAATTAGACGTGGGGGGGGGGGGTGTAAATGACTCACCCCCTCCCACCTCCTAGCCGCCCACTTCAGGGTGATTTTGTGATATTCTCACAAATTCAGGGCGCCGATTTGCCAACCAATTTGATTCCAGACTTGTAGATGTTTTTTTTCGTTTTCAAATTGCGCTGATTTGTAGCCCCAAGAATACGTCCGCAGCGGAGATGGAGCAATTAAATCAGCTCTTGCGTGGACGCTGGCTAGATTGCATCGCAGGACCACCACCGACCTTCATCCAGCAGCGGACTGACCACGGCTGTTGCTGCTGCTGATGATGATGAAGAAGAAGACGACGATGATGACGATGATGGCGGCGCCTCTCGTTGTTGCAGGGAAAGTACGATCCCATTATGTTCCAGAAAGGAACCGCGAATCAACGAAACGAAGTTTCAAGTGTTGGGTCGTCATTCCACCACCACCCCCCCCCCCCCCCCATTTCGTATTCATGTACTGTACGTTGAACTTCTTTCGCACCGTGCGGGGGAAGGACAACAAACTAAACACAAAAAGCAGTTATGAAGAAATGAGTTTTGAAGTGAGATGAATTTGAAGTGCATAGCTCCAGTGGCTTCCTAATAATCAGAAGCGCATCTGATGTGGTGCTGGTCGTCGTCTTCTTTGTTCAACGGTTCGCCAAAAGCCGCTGCCGCTGCGAGGATGACCGCGGGTGAAGTCGAACCCGCCGGGGATTCTCGGCTCGTCCGTCTAAACAAGGCGCACACTTTGCTCTCGCCGCTCCTGATTCACCTCGATAAACTGGCGGAGATGTCAGCTGATACCCCACGCGGGTTCAAAATGATTACTTTCTAGCACATCCTGAAAAGTTGTTCTTGACACCTCTCGCCAAAATTTTTTTTTAATATATTCTGCTGGGATCTTGACAACGCTGGATTCCGCACAGACATCGCCGACAGGGCTTAGGAAGTCACAGAAATCGTTTATGTCCGCGCTACTCCCAGAAATTGCAATTGCAAAGATTGAGAACGGAAAATAAAGATTCCAAGATTGTTTTTCCTTTCTGGACAACAGATCATAAAAAACCCCAGCAATATCGAGTTTAAAATGCAGAGAT